AACAAAACAACAAAACAATCAAAACAATTAAAACAAATTAAAAACAATTAAAACAGTTAAAACAATTAAAACAATTAAAACAATAAAAACAATTAAAAGAAACTAAAAGAAATTAAAAAGAATTAAAAAAATTAAAACAAATTCAAAAAATTAAAAAAGAATCAAAACAATTAGAAGAATTAAAAGAATAAAAAAGAATAAAAGAATAAGCGGACTTTCCTGGAGAATATCGAGGAAATGTGCTGCTTGAATCGCTGCTGTCAGCAGCGGCTGCAGCAATTCATTTAAATTTTCTAATTTGCTTTTTGCTGCTGCTGCTGCTGCTGCTGCTGCTGCAGTGTACGTACACCCCAGCGCCGCAACAGCCCCCGTCGTCCAGCAGCCCCCCAGCGCCCGCCGGTTGCGGTCCTGAGGTCGAAAGTGCTCAAAATGTGTCCAAATTAATTCAAATTATTTCAAATTAATTCAAATTAATTAAATTTAAATAAATTTAGTCCCAAATATTCAATTAATCGGCGCAAATAGATCCACTTTGATACTCCGGGAGGCTCAGGAAAGCACAGATGACCGCAGATCCTACCCAAACCCTAAACCCTAAACCCTAAACCCTAAACCCTAAACCCTAAACCCTAAACCTTAATTTTAGGCTCTGAAGCTTGCCTGCGGGTTTATGGGGAGGTATTTGTGCTCTTTATCTGCACCGTCCTCTTCCTCCTGAGGCGCTGCAGCAGCTGCTGCAGTTGCTGCTGCATTTGCTGCAGCATTTGCTGCTGCTTCTGCTGCTGCTGCTGCTGCTGCTTCTGCTGCTGCTGCTTGGGGCGCGCGCGGTTTGTGTCTCTTTAAGTAAATGATATTATTGACGGCGTCGAAGCAAAGCTGCCGCTGCAGGAAGAGAAAGTCCTTGGGCTGCTGCTGCTGCAGCTGCTGCAGCTGCTGCTGCCGCTCCTGCTGCAGCTCCCGAATTAAATCCAAACATAAATTGCTCAACTCTGTCTCCAAACGAATCCTTTCCCTATCACACAACTCCCTACTGGGGGCCCCCCCAAGGGGGGGCCCCCCCCC